GCGGGTTGGGGTGTGGTGTCCCGGGCCGGGGGGGTTGTGTGATGCGTGCGGGCGGCGCGTGATGGAGATGGGGAGGAGGGCGGCCGGGGAGGGTGGTGTTTGAGTTGGTGGTGGATGCTTATTCGTGGTGAAGAAGGGGGGTGGGTGTCAAGGGTCGGGCGATGATGTGGTACATACAATAGTACAATATCACCCGGCCCATCCCGCTTGATTTGTCTTCTCTTTGCCTGTAAGCCGGATTATCGGAATTTCCATATCACCCGCAGAAATAACCGCGTTATTACTGAGCACTCTTCTTACCCGGCAGACCAGCCCAGCCCAAAGTCCCCCATCCCAACTCCGGCCTCTAACACCCAACCACGTCAGCCAGGTAGACAGGCCAGAACCTCCGAAAACTCACATACGCCCTGAGCCCGAGCCCGAGCCCGAGGCCAAGCGAGGGCGTTTCCGCTTAACGAGGAAACAAATACGGCACTCCAAAGTCCCGAACGCCGACTCCCCGACCAGCCGTCACCGACCAAGTGACACAAGCACCCAGACATTGCCTGTCTTGCAGCCACGGCGCCGCCAGGAAGCGGTGTAACGCGCGCCACCTTTCTCTCGCAAACCACACAAACTTGAGGGACATGCCCGAGGAGCCGAGACTCGTATCCTGGCACCTCTTCCCAGCCCAAGACGTGGCAGAAAAAGACGGAATGGCCAAAAAGAGGCTGGAGAAGAAAGGAATGTCTCAGGGGCGGAATGTTTTCGCATCTTCGGGTCGACATGGTAATAACGACGCCATGTATTCGGATAGGTTAAGCCTCCGCTCGTTATCATGGCTGGAAATTGAGAGGTGCGGCTGTTATATAAGCCTATCGACCAGGAAGAGAAGACAAACAAACAGAGTGGTATCGATCGTGACATATATAGAGAAGAGATCAAACCCGGAGGAGAAACAGAAACCCTCGAGGAGAGGAAGCTCGCGCGCGCTACCCGAGGAGACAGCATGCCTATACCACGAAACGCCTGACTCCCGAAACCCAACCCGATCGTCTGGAACCCGGTCAACACCGCTCTCAGGTCTACACAACTAACCCGCCGAGCCTGCTCGCCTCACCCAGTCAGCCGTAACGCCACCGATTAGTCCAACTCATCCGTTGCCGAACCCTTTTGGTCCGCGCATCCGTCACATTATCGTAGCAGGGCTACAGACTAGTCCTGCAACCCGGTCCGACCCAGAGTCGTGTAATGCCCATTGTTGTAGGGGCGCCCCTTTCGTGCGTCTCCGGTAGTGCTCAAATATGTGTGCATTTGCCTACGCTCCAGTACCCTGGACGTAATAGCCATTCGCGGGGTTGAACCCGCTTAGCGAGGTGAGTTGGACCAAATACTCCCAGTCCATCCCGCCGGCTTCCGGGTCTTGCATCGGTCCCGGGTTGTTATACATGGGCGCCATGTCGTCGTACCCCTGGTACATCATCGATTCGTCCATCATCATGGCATTGCCCGCGCCAATACCCGGCATCGGCGGCGGCGCCGTCTGGGGCATCGGCTTGCCGGGGTACATTCCCGCGGACGGCATGCCGGCCGGAGCCATGTTCATGTCTCCCACAGGTGCCATTCCTGGGACGTTTCCTGGGACGTGTCCAGACCCGGACCCGGGTGGCATCATAGGCTGTACGGGGACATGTTGCCCAATCCCGCTCGGCTCGCCCATGTTCGTCCCATTGCGTGCCGGGGGTGCTAGGACAGGTCGTTTCGTCGTTTTGGCCAAGGTGGCCCTGAGCAGCATGATCACCTTGGGCGGGGTAAGTGAGCGGCCGAGTTGCAGTTCTGCGGCTTCGCGAGCGTCCCAGGCCTTGACGAAGTAGCGGCCAAAGGCGATGTGCAGGGGGTTGCGGTTGAGGCGTCGCAAGAGGCCGCGCCGATCGTGGTTCTCGATCATGACGCTCCAAGCGCGCTCGCAGAGCTCCCCTGTGGTTCTGTGACGTAGTTCCGAGACCAGGCAGAGGTAGGCCGGGAGGGGAAAGTGAGCGTACGTGTACCATCGGAATCCCTGAAGCATATCCGCGCTCTGGATGATGTTATCATACTCGACCATGCGGAGGGCTTCCATGAAATAGCTGTCGCGCTCGCTTTGGTCCACATTATCGGTGTTGGCCGTCCGACAGAGGAAGTCGATGATGCGCAGTTTGCACAGCGCTTGCCGTGTCATGAGGAGTGTGAAGTAGTGCAGCGGGATCTTGGGGTCACACTGTTTGAGGTACAAGTTTTCCACATATGCGCAGAAATTCGCAAGGTTATCCGGTAGGCTTTGGTTAGCCACGTGTGACACGATATCGGGTGACGAAGGGGATGGGCTGAAATGCACCATCGGCTTGTGTAGCTGCCGGCCCCCAGGAGTCGTAATAGTCCGCCGGACATTATCGGGCGACGCCGCGACGGTGAGCTCTATGCGCGTAAGGCAGAAGACCATTTCAGTAGGCCCGCCGTATGGGCCGGGTTGGTCCTTGGCGTGTACGTTCAGGTCTGCGTCATTAATGTTGAGCGGCAATCTCGTGTCGACGGCACAGGAGGTCAATGCCGTCACCGTTGACCCAGTGATTTCGGCGATACGTTTGTCGAAGACGACAATTTGCCACCATAGTCGCCTTCGTTGCTCGGCTTCGAACGGTGACATGTCGGACTGAGACCCATCCCGGTGAAGGCCCAAACGGGTGGCAATCCTAAACGCCATGCCGAGGAGGCAAAACATAGATCGGGGGTCAACATACGGGCGGGCGCATAGCTAAGAATGCGTTAGCGGAGTGCCCACCAGCCGAAGAGTGAGAGAGTGAGGGAGTTACCAAGTAGAGGAAGAATGCCTGCAACACTATCAAATCGGGGGACCGCATGAAGCCGGCATTGACTAGCGCTTGTTGGGTGGCGTTGTGGTACTTTCCTAGGAGGATGACCTTGTCTTCGCCGAACGTGCTCTGGACCTCCTCTTCGCTCAGCGAAGTGATAGCGGCGAAGTAGATAGCAAATAAGAGAACCTCGAGAGGCTTTGAGATCTTGGCCGGATTGGCGCTGGCGGTGATGATTTGCGCCTGCAACGTAGGCGTGTGGGTGATTTTCAGGAGCGGGTTGACGTTGCTGATGTAGATTTGCCATAGCTGGAACATCTGAACGGCGGGGGGATGGACGTTTGTTATGTTGGCCAGAGAACCGCCAACCACGAAGGGAAAGCCATCACTATTCTCGAACATGGTGTCATAGGCATTGTGTATTGTCGGCCCCTCGTAATCCTCATCTGACGAATCTTCATCTGCTCCTCGGTACTGTCGGCTGGTCAGACACAGCGATGGGTGGAGAGCGTTTCATGGCAACGTTGGGGGTCAATGTACCCCAAGGTCAAAAGTGGGATGGGGATATGGAAAGGGAAAAGTGAAGGGTGGCTGGTAACGCAGGGGCAAACTAAGATGACGGCGAGGGAAGAAAAGCCGGGTAGGGGAGAGCGTGTTCCGACCTGTGACTTACATCGTGGACTACCGGAGCCCATTTTTGTCTGATAGAAGGGGGTTAGCCTAGATGGTCGATGGGGAGAAGGGCCGACGGCGATAGCAGCCAGCAACGCCGATAACAACGGGAACGGAAACTGACCTGTCATGAGCTTGATCTGGCGTGACATGGTCGGCGGAGCTCGACGGGGACGTTTTGAGCCCGATAAGGTCATGCTCGAGATCAGCAACCTCGTCTCCGTGATCTGAAGGCTTGAGGTCATGAGCGATGGGCTCGAAATTGACGCCGTGCTGAGATAGCAGAGACTCGTATTTTCGGAGTCGGTCAATGAGATCCCGCTCATGGGGTTTCTTCTTCCTACGCCGGGGTGGCTGTGGCGGAACCACGCGGCACTCGACATGCGCCTTGACGCAGTTGGCGCACGGCTTTTGTTTATCACAGCGGACCTTTCTCTGTTGACACAGGACGCACGAGTGGCCGCGTGTTAACTTCATCGCCGCCGGTTCGGGCGCGGGTGCCCGCGGGGGCGACGGCGGCGGCGGCGGATCGGGAAGAGGCTGTCCGGAGGCCATGATATAATGGGGCGTACGGTTATGTAGGGCTTAGTATACGTGTGTGTCGGTTGGCCGTCTGCCGGATAGGCGAGGGCGCCGCTCGGGTCCGAGAGACCCAGCGATCCAGCCCACCGGGTTCGCAGAATGTGGGATCTGCCGGTTTCCCTCCTCAACTTGGGATATGGCCCGATCCGAACAATGCTTTCTGGTCCAACTCCGCACCCAGTAATGTCGCTGGAACACGGCAATGGCCCAACTCGGGAACGGGTAAGCAAGGTAAGACCCGGTGATCGCTACAGGGCCCGGGGAAGCTGTGAGAATGCACCGACCACCGACAACCGACAACTGACAACAGATAACGGGCGACAACGGGCGACAACAAGCAACGCAGCGCAGCGCAATAACGGCAAACCACGCTACGAGGACGGGTGTGCGCGTGACAGCTGCCAGCAGGAGGTCCGGAATTGACTCGACACTTCCCACGAGTGGCGTTCGAGCTTGTGTGGGATAAAGGATTCGACGGATGCGGGTCTTAAAAAGCGCGGCCCCCGAGTCCAGATCAATCGTGGAGGGAGCAGCAGCAGGCGCGCAGTAGCGCAGCAGCAGTAGCGCAGCAGAAGGCGACACAAGGAACGTCGGCGATGAGGTGAGGAAGAAGACGGGGAGTCACAAGCAACCAACAAAAATGGAGATAAGAATTGGCGCACTCTGTTCTCGATGATTGGCACTGGATGCAAACACTGTCGAACCCTTCCCTCGTAGGAACCAGCAAGAGCAACCAAGAACAACCGGGCACGCCGGGCATTCAAGCGAACCCTCCATTCCCCAATTCCCCTCTCCCCCGAAAACTTGCGGTCTCAGTGCAGTGCCTTGTTTGGCTAGCCACTAGCCTTCGAGTGGGGTTGAGCACAAGATCTTGACATACTCTCCCAGCTGTAGACGGGCCGGCGACCACGATCGAGTGCGTATTGCCAAGCCCAGAAAAGCGGGGACAATCTCGGGACCGAAGGAAGGAAACAGGCTAGGCCTATTCTGGACAGTCAACTGGGATTGGAGGACTGAACACAAAAAGAGAAGGCGCTCGGACCAGGTCCAGCCGGCTCTGGCAGGGACAGCCCAGAGATGGATCCGTTTTCTGTATCGTATCGTAACGTCATCCCGACTTACACGGCCGAGCAGGGGGTTGGCCGGACCGCAGATGGGGAAACCGCAACATCGCGATGCCTAAAGCCCACCTCATCCGATATCTCGCGCATGGAGAGCAAAAAGAGGAGCAGCGCCGAGGCCAAAGAGTCCGGCGCACGCAATTTGCAATTTGACACAGTCCGGATAGATTACCACGAGTAGATATCCGAGCCGAGTCTCTGGCTGGGAGTGGGCCAGGTCCATCGTACACCGAAGGCCGCAGCTTCCATAGCACACAGGGCGCTAGAGGTTTCGCAGAAACGATTCTTAATCTTCCAGGTTGCCTGCTCCTGTGGCTTGGTCGCCGCTGTGCTTCCATCCTACACGCAACAGAAAAAAAAACCAAGAGAAACCAGACCCAACCCAACCTAAGCTCTCCATTTCCCAAGACCTTCCTTCCATCGTCGCACGAATCCATTCACATCCGATTCTTCCTCCGCTCTTTTATACGCCTTTTCCACCTCATTCAAATTCCTAACCAAACTAGGTAACCAACCTGTTGTAAATCTCTGCTTTCCTTTCCTCTCTCTTTTCCGGTTTTGGTCTTCACGCTACCGTCATTCGCTACCTACCTACCCACCACCACCCACTGCAGGCGTCGTGAACGACCCCAAACCTTGCCGCCATGGCTGCCGAGTCCCAGTCACTGAGGTCCATCGGTAGTAACCGGGCAACCCAGGTAGAACACACCGCGAGACAACTCGACCCAGGCGATGCTGAAAAGTTTACACCCCCCCGAGCCCCGCCGGAGCCGATCGATACGGAAGAACTGTACCAACCGTGGAGTGTCCGCTTCTGGTTGACGCTTCTGTGTAACTTTCTCGCGCTCTTTCTCGTCGCCCTCGACCGAACCATTATCGCCACCGCGGTCCCACGCATATCGGACGAGTTTCAAGCCTTGGGAGATATCGGCTGGTATGGCTCTGCGTACATGCTTACAACGGCCTGCGCCCAGCTGATTTTCGGCCGCATCTACAAATTCTACGATATGAAGCAGTACGTCGCTGCCGCACCCCCGTGCATGGTACCGATATCATTGCTAATACCACACCCTGCAGGACCTTCCTCACCAGCGTCCTCGTCTTCGAGATAGGATCCACGATATGTGGCGCCGCCCCTAATTCGGTCTCGTTCATTGCCGGCCGTGCCATCGCCGGCCTTGGCTCCGCCGGCATCTTTTCTGGCTGCCTCTTAATCATGATTCCCATGATCCCCTTGCACCGACGTGCCATGTCCCAGTCCTTGTTCGGTGTCGTTTTCGGTCTCGCCTCTGTCTTGGGGCCCTTAATCGGTGGCGGATTCACAGGCAAGGTCACCTGGCGATGGTGTTTTTACATCAATCTCCCGATCGGCGCCGCGACCCTGGTTTTCATGATCTTTTGTTGGAACCCGCCGGGGAAGGAACGGGAAGATAAACCGGCCAGCTTCGTGGTTCAGGTCAGACGCTTGGATCCCCTGGGCATGATTTTCTTCCTTCCAGGCGTCGTCTGCCTCTTTATTGCCTTTCAATGGGGCGGTTCGAGGTATGCGTGGGACCAGTGGCGCCCCATCCTGCTGCTTGTCGTATTCGCGGTCTGTACGGCGGCGTTCGTTGCTGTCCAGATCTTGACACCCGACACCGCTTCCGTGCCCCCGAAGGTCATCACCCAGCGGAGCGTTGCATTCGGCACAGGTTTCACCTTCTTCTTGGCAGGGTCTATGTTGATGCTGGTGTACTACGTACCGGTCTGGTGTGAGTCTCAACTTTACAAAACCGGACCCGAGACGCTTGAGTGTGCTGATTGAATTTCTAGTCCAAACCGTTAAGGAAGTCGATCCCGTACAATCAGGCATCTACACACTCCCTCTTGTGCTGAGCCTAGTCGTTTCCAGCATAATGTCCGGCGCCATCACGCAGAGGATCGGCTACTACGTCCCATCGATGCTCGTCGCACCCGCCATCATGACGGTTGGAGAGGGCCTCCTAAGCACTCTTAACCGTGACAGCCCAAGCTCACATTGGATCGCCTTCCAATTCCTTTCCGGGTTTGGTTTAGGATTTGGGATGCAAACGGCCGGCCTCGCAGTGCAGACCGTCCTCCCAAAAGACGACGTCAGCACAGGCCTCGCAATCAACCTTTTTGTCCAGCAACTGGGCGGAGCTGTGTTTACATCCGTAGGACAAACCATCATCACCAACATGCTGGTTTCAAAACTATCTGGGGTCCCTGGATTAAACCCCCAGCTCATAGTCAGCGAGGGCGTGACGAAGCTGATTGAGCTGGTTCAGCCGGGGGACGCTCACCTAGTGGTCGCAGCCTACAACGACGCCTGCCGGGCCATCTTTCTGTCATCCATGGGTCTGGCCTTTGCGGCACTGTTTTGCGCATTCGGCATGGAATGGAAAAGCATAAAGAAGAACAAGAATAAGGAGAAGCTCGATGTTCTTGCGCCGACTCCTCCTTCAAACCCTGCATCGCCGGAGCTGCCGGGAGCCACGATTCTTAACGGCCAGAACAGGCCCATGCCCGGAAGACCATTCTTCGAGAGTGCCAAGGGTGGTAGTATCCAGTCTAGGGCTTCACGACGCAGTACCGCGGAGGCAAAGTTGGAAGATGAGCGGAAAGAGGAGGCCCGGAGACACATGAAATGGAGGAGCGACAAACGCCCAGCTACGGCAGAAGCTCAAAGACGGAGCGTTTTGACAAAACCGGATTCAAGCCACGGGCCTAGCTCCAGCCATAGACAAAGTCAAGGTGCGGAATCCAGTAAGGAGGATCTGCTGACTATAGCACTGCGCGACTGGACTCAGTACACGAATACGCAAGGAGGGGGACTTGGAAAGCCGAGTCAGTGGCCTAGGTGAGCGTCTACTAGATGCCTCCAAACCACGCATCGGGGGCGTGGAGGATGGATGTTACAGTCTCATCGCGCATTCGGGATAACTATCTGGTTGTTTTCAGGGCGGGTCTCCTTTTCATCGGCCTCGGCATCGGTGGCGTTGCACTTTGGCATCCGTGGAATATATCGGTGTATAATTGTAAGGGCGGGGTTTTGCAGCGTTCTGGGCCACCTTAATATAGAGAGACGTATGTTAGTTGTTGTTTGTGGTATCAATATATTTTTGCCTCTTGGAGCAGCGCAGTATTGTTTAAGGTACCCAACCTCGAGTCAATCTCTATGGAAGACCACCCACACCAACCGCTTCCACCGCAGCTTGGTTGGTCACCTAGCAATTAGAAGATATAAGTTTATCCATAACGACTCTAAAGCTGAGGTGTGCGGAGTGGTCTTGATTCCGATCCCAAGCGCCTTCTACTACATGTTTACAGATACAATACACAGACAGACACACAGACAGACAGACCGATGGACAGCTGTTCCTCACTCTCGTTCTCCCTCTTTTCTTCCCACCCCCCAACACCCACTTGTCAACCAACAAATCGACCCCCGCCTACCCGCCGCACTCCATCAATCAGTACATCGGTACATCGGTACACATCCGTAAGGTGCATTAACCAAGACATGCCCTCCTTTCATAACACCGCCTGATGCAAAATGAACCAGCCAACCAAGCCAACCAACCTCCCGCCATCTAGTGTAATAGTCGTCGCAGTAGCAGCCGTATCGTTTTTCTTTTTTTTTGCTCATGTATTAGCAACACCCGTCTCACGGACTCGCATCGTGGCCATCGGCCGTCGTGCGTGCCGTGTTATGCTTGTGTGTGTGTTGTTGTTGGTGGTTGTTGTGGGTGTAACTTTGGGTGGGGGGAAGTTACATGAGTACCTAGGGTAGGTAGGTAATTTTGGTCGTTTCCTCGTTCTTTTTTCCCCTTATCCCTGCTGTTTTGCGCTCACTCACGACGACCCGGGTTTGTTGCCCTTGCTGTCGTCGCCGGGCTTCTTGGTGCTTTCGCTGCCGTCGCTGCCGTCGGGTCTGCTGCTGGTGGGCGGGGTGGTTGGTGAGGTTGTGCCAGAGTGACTTGAGGAAGCCTTCGTTTTTGTGCGCTTCGGGGTCGTTTTCGTCGTAGGGACTGGAGGGGAGGACGGTGTGTTAGAAATTGGGTTAGGAGGGTGGGTGGGGGGGCGAGGGGTCTGAGGGAATGGAAAGCAGAAACTCACGTCTTGTGCAGGTTCATGATCCGCTTCGCCGTCTTGTCACCCATCTCGTCCGCCAGCATCTCGACGAGTGCCCGCTGGTTGTTGGAGAGGTACTTGGGCATGGCGACGCGGAACTCCACCTTGAGATCGCCCATCCGCCCGCGCCGGCTGTCCAGCTTCGGCATGCCCTTGCCCACGAGCGTCATCTTGTCGCCCGTGCTGGTGCCCGTGGTCACGCGGACCTTGGCATCGCCGTCGAGCGTCGGAATGATGACCTCACCGCCCAGAATGGCCGTCGGCAGCGGGATGGTCGCCGTGTACAGGACGTCGGAACCCTGCCGACTGAACTGCGGGTCGCGCGCCACCTTGACGAAGACGTACATATCGCCGTTGGTGGCGCGGACGTTCTCGCCAGCCCGGCCCGTGGGCGGCGCATCACCGGCCCCGCTCACGCGCAGCCGCATCCCGTCCTCGATGCCGCCGGGGATGTCAACCGTGATGGTCTTGCGCTCGCGGACCACGCCGTCACCCTGGCACGAGCGGCACTCGGAACCCCGCGGGATCGCCGAGCCGGTACCGCCGCAGGCCGAGCAGGAGCTGGCCATCTGGAAGCCACCCGCAACGAGGTTCACGCGGGTGCCTGTCCCGTGGCAAGCCCCGCACTGTGATCGCTTGGCGCCCTGCTTCATGCCGGTACCGGTACAAGTTTTACATGTCACTAGCGGTAGCGTAGTGATGTTCTTGCTCGTCCCCTTGGCCGCCTCCATGAACGACACCGTCACCTGCACCTCCACGTCTTCACCCTCGAGAATCTCCGTCTGGAACGGCCCGCCGCCACGACCCGCACGTCCGCCAAAGCCCCCACCACCGGTAAACGCCGAGAAGATGTCGTCGAAGTTGATGTTGGAGCCGAAACCGCCTGCGCTGCTGAACCCGCTAAAGGGGTGGCCGCCTCCAAACGGATGGCCGCCGCCCGGACTGGGCCCGGCACCCGGGTCGAACCCGGCGGCGCCAAACTGGTCAAACTGTTCCTTCTTCTTGGGGTCTGACAATATTTCGTAGGCGGACTGGATCTCGGCGAACTTGTCCTTGGCGGTTGGATCCTTGTTCGTGTCTGGGTGGTACTTTTTCGCCAGGCCGTAGTAGGCCTTCTTGATGTCGGAGGCTGCCGCGTTCTTGCCGACACCTAGGGTGCCGTACGGATCCCGCGGAGTGGCGAGTAACCGGCGAGTTGTGTGGAAATAGACCTGCTATCTACTTGTTAGTAGCGGTTACAAAGCTAAGGGTTACTTGGGGACCAACCCTTGGTGGGGTAACAGGTGACTGAGTCCGCGGCTTCGACGATGGTCTACCGGAAGCCCTAGATACGACCGAGTAGGCGACGGCGGGGACGGACCGGCTGGCGCATCCCTTAAGTCGCTGGTGACGGCATATTTGTGAAGGTGAGAGCTGCCGCACCGGGCGTGCTGCCTTGGGAAGAATACTCGTGCTCATCTCGTTCAACTTATGCGAATCTCTGCAATTGGCATGCCCGCGACAACCGCCGGTATGAGTCGCTGTTCTCCCTCGTTGTCTTAGAAGTTGTGTTGTTGATCTCGGATTTGTCTTTTTGCTTTCTTCAACTCCGACTCGCAACAACTTTTTCTGCGCCCAATCACAGATCGTTAGATTGGAGAAGTTGCTGGTCTTGGCAGCCTGAGGCACTGCCGCCGCCATTCGAGAAACAACCACCACCCTCTGTGGGGCACTTTTGCGGAGAATTTCGATAAGGGTACGTCTTAAAGCTCAAGATCATACCATTACCGAGCCCTTCTTTTCGCTTTTCTGCTGTTATATAACTCTCTATGATAACATGGATCCTGCGCCGTATGCTTTATGCTGCCACTTTTCTCTTTCCCCCTTTCCTAGCTGAGTGACGAACTGATGTGTACTTCATGGTTGAAGTCACACTCTATTAACGATATGTGGGCCCCACCTCTTGGCGATGCGCGAACTGTGAATTAATTACAGAGTTCGCGTATGCCCGGCTTTCCGCGGATGATGGAGCGGCAGTGTCTCACCGGATTTTAACAAGGAGAAATACCGACAAACTGGGATGATAGGTATTCACTGCAATATTGACATTCAATGCCTATGAAGAAAAAAAAAAATGCGCCCTCAACTCCACCACCGGCATTAAGCAGTGGTTTGACGTACTTAACATGTTCGTCCATGCAACTGTGCAGTGCACGGGGGTATATTCCTGGTCATGATTCCCATATCCCCGCGGCAAGGCGCGCCCGCCGTTGTGGCTGCAATGCTATCTAAAGAGTGCTGTTTCCCTCCGTTCCTTGTGTCCTAGCGTAGGTCGAGTAGATTCATCGCTCAGCGACTGGATGTATATACTCGCGTCGTTGCGGCTTTCCCTTCGTCACCCCTTGGCTCCGCACTTTATGGAGGAACTCGACAATGATGTCGTTTTCCTGCACGCCCAGGCCGTTGAAGTGCTTCCGCACGACATTGGTCAACTGGTCTTTGTTCTGCCTCCGGACTTCCTTGCGTTGTGCGATGGTCGGGGAGTAGAGGCCGATGCTCCCCGGTTGGGTCAGTACCCATTCGTGGTGGTCGCTGACGAAGGCGGTTGGTGTCTTGAGACGGTATGCTCGGCGGTAGGCGTGGAGGACCTCTCTCTCGAAAGCGGGCCATTGTAGCTGTTAAAGGCAATAAAAAGAATTAGCGAGTGCACCTCGAGGAAGAGGAACAAAAATCGGAGCGGAAGGTCGAGGCACCACCTACACCTGGGGCGCTGGCCTCTTGTGCGTTGGCTGCCGCGTCGGGGACAGTAGCAATAGCAGTGGCCGTAGAACTGGCGTTTGTCACCTCGCGCAGGTTGGAACCCGCACTGCTGGCAACACGCCTCATCTTCGTTCCACCGCCACTTCCATTCTTTTCTTTGGCGGTCGGGAGGTTGTCGATCTTGGAATCGTCCTGACCGCCCCGGGCGGCTTTCGAGGGGGGCATTGCGAGAAAAAAAAGAGGTGGGAAAAAGAAGCGATTGTTTTGCCGAATGATGCGTCGAGGGGTGCGATAGTGGTGTTTACTGCTACTGCTCCCGGCTCGATTCCGTCACATCCTACGGATTAAGATTCGAAATCTGCGGTGGTAGAGTGCTGTGGGAAGAGTGGGCATTGCGCGTGAGAGGGGTCTCTAGCTGGAGACGGGAAAGAGATTGCAGCCCTGCGTTGCAAGGCACAGGGCAACAAGCGCGCGGGTTCCCCAGGCTCTGACGACACAGGCACGACAGGGTACTTTTTGAGCCTTTGGTTGGTGCATGGTGTGGCTGAGGCGCGGCTGTCAGCGTTGTTGTGCCACAGGAACCGGCTCGTTGGGTCTGGGTCCCGCTCGCTCGTCATTGCTGCTGTGGAAGCTTCCGCCATGTCGCTCAAATGCCAATTGGACCGGCATTCCTCAAATCGGTAGCCCGGTCCGTCATTTGTGATGTTTTGCCGTCTTTCGAGATTCGAAGGGGGCAATGGGCTTCTTGTTGCCGTTGTCTCATTTTTTTTTGTCCCCTTTTAACTGTAATGCTTTGGTACGAGGAGGTATGTAGTTAACGAACTCCACAGAAAGTCTGGACGAGTGGGGGACGGGGGCTTTCCGCTTGCTACGACGGAGTTGTTTTTTGGTTTCGTCTGAAGCGATGAGGGAGTCTGCCCGGAGACTTTTGCCTGCCGCTAGTTGAGTTGAAACCGAGGGACAAAGGCCAAAAAAAGGCTGGTCAGAGGAAAGAAAACCACGACTCGCCATGCCAGAGTTTTGCAGTCCATGCCTTTCCCAGCACGGCCTGTCTCTTGTGTGGCACCACCTCAGACACTAAAGTGAGTCCTTTTCTGTCATGGAGGGCACCCACTTCCCCGGTTCAGACGCAGAGGCGCTCACGTTTTGGTCGACGTGCAGGCAGCAGACCGCCACGAAGGACGCCGGTGGCGTTTTCCGGTGCACACTGAACCCTGGGACCCGGTCAGGTGCGGTTGGTGGTTGGCAGTCCGGCTCCTTCAGAAGCTCCGGCCGCTTGTGAGGCTGGGGGACGAGACTCGCCGACACCCCACGCCCAACGGCAGTCCAAAAGCTCCGCGTCGATCTCCCACGTTAACCCCACATTGGCGACCTTGCTTTAACAACAGGAGCTGCTGATGTCTTGGCCTATCATGGTTTTTTGAGCGAGTTCGGGATTCGGGAGTCACTCAGGTCTGGTAAGACAGGCTTGAAGATCTTTCCTGGACCGGCGTCGGCCGGGGTTGTTTGCCAGGTCCTCGGGTTCGTCTGGCAACGCCAACACCTGGTGGCAGTGCCAATCTTGTCTGAACTTTCAGAGGTGTTAAGGTTGGGGGTTACGCAGGGGTTGGTTTTTTTGTGAACACTCGGTGTGCAGGAACTCGGTGGATTATTTCATAGTCTCGTGTTGATTGGTGCCGCAAGGGCATCGTAGCATCTGCCCATCCAGCCTTGCCAGCGTCCTTGCTGATCGATCGAAACTAGGATGAGTTACATACTCGGCCGAGGGAGGTCTCGGTCACGTTGCTGGGCGCCTGGGCTAGCCGCGTTGGAAGTTCGGTGGCTAGGTACACAGCAGTTCCAGGTTACTTAGAAGTTGCGAAACCGAGCTGTGAGTTCATTTGGATTCCAGGCAGTTCCGAGGAAACGCAACTACGGAAAAGGAGTGAGTTTCGATCACAAGCTGAATTTCGATCATCAACCGAGCCGATTGGGCAGCAAGACTATCGAAGACTGGCAAAGCAACTGGGCTGAACCGAACGTTTGATGAGGTTTTGGCTTTAATAAGGATGAAGAAAAGAAGTGGGGAGAAAAAGCCAGCTTCCACGCAAATGGCCAATTAGACAAGACATTTTGAACCCCACACCTTCTTCAGCGAACCGATCCACAGGCAGGGATCCCATGCCACACACCAGCCATAGGAACAATCCCACGCCGCATTCTTTGCCTTGTGACGATCGAGGCTTCTTCGGCTCGAGTGCCAGGGGACCACCACAAACGCCACAAACAGTAGTGTGTGGGCAGTGCGGCCACGCCAGCTCCCCAACGACCACCCCATTCCCTTCGCAAGATCCCAGATGCTTCACAAACTCCATACTGTCGTGCCTCGTCCCGGAGGGAGTAGGAGGGCACGAGGAGGCGGAGAAGCGGGGTCAGCTTACCACGAGAAAGGGAAAAAGGGGGAAGGCGGTCTTCTCTGCAGCATCATGAGACTTCTAAATGGTGGGCCGAACATGGCCACTGAGCAGCTGGTCATGGCAAGGGACATGACCAACAGCCACGGGGGAACGGTTTGTGTTGCTTAACATGCCCGACAGCCGACCAAACAAGAGTCCCGTCTTTCTGGTCTCCTGGCGTTGGGTGTCCCCCGTTCTTCGGCCCCTGGGGTGCCAACGCCCCAGGCGTGTCTGGAGGCGGGTTCCAGACGAAGCCGCGCCGCGGATCCTGGATCTGGCCAAGATGCGGAAATAGTGGGTACCATAGAGGGGGCTTTCTCCCACCGCCGCGCAAGAATGGAGAAATCGGCGGCGGTTGCTGAAGAGGCTTTATGCGATGGTTTACAGATTAAGTTGCGTGAACTGCGAACTCGGGCGATCGCCAATGCGCCCCGGCAGTTCCCTTGGATGCGGGCTTCCGGACCCATCGACAGCTTCTGGGTTGGGTTGCTCAAACAATGAAGCATCTGACGCCTGCGGAAGCGGTTGCAAGGACCCTGCTTCGTTGGAGTCCTTGCTAGCTGGAACCCCGCTCCCCGGAGCCGGGTAGCCGGCCGCAAGATACCAGATCTCTTCTTGACGGGAATGCGATGGAGAAACGATCCGACATGCAACGTTAGGAGCTCGGTTGATATTGACCAGCAACGCGGGAGCCTCTGGATGCACCGCTTCTGCAGTGGCTAAGCGGAACGAGCGGTGGCAGAAACAGGCACAGATCTGTACAGACAGACAACGGATTTGTTTAAAACCGCATGGGTTGGAGCACCCCCGCCCCTCTTGAGCTTCGCTCAATTGGGCCACGCGGCGCATCCTATGGCCGTCACGATTCTTACCCGTAGTCACTTCACTTGCAGGGAATAATAAGACCCCCACACTCCCACTGCTCATCTCACTCCCGCTCTCCCACGACACCGTTTCTGACCCACGGAGAGCCAAGGTCGGACAGAGTGACAACGTCAAACGACAGGGACTCCGCAACCTCGAGGTCGCGTGAAGTTATTCCATCCTCGGGCAAGACCAATCCTGATCTGTACGCCCAGCCCACTCTCCCGCGCGTCAACCCCTCGCCATCTTCCTCCCGGAGGGCCGTGAATATCAGGAGAGGAGGGCCCCCAAAACCAGAGACAGCAACAGTCCCCGGCAGCCCGGGTGCGTCTTCGCCAACAGGTATGCATTGCATTTCCTTCCTTCAACGCCCCCCCTCCCCCTTGCGGTACCATTGGTGCCACATTTCGATTCTTCCCCAGGCACTGTTGCAACCGTTCCAATCCGGGTCCGAGTTTCGAAACACATAATTACCCCGGGATTGGAGGCTCGGGGCGGCCCATCGCGGAGTCGACCTGGACAGTGCGCAGATGCCCGTGGAGTTCTTGATGGCCGAATCTGGACACGGCGCTGCCGAGAGCGACGCAACGCGCAGTACCGGAGAGCCCTGCAGCAGTCTCACACAACGATGGATTGGGGGGGGTGGCAACGAGAGTGCTCGGGCCCGGCCGAGGTACCGGTTCGAATCTGGAAATTGTTGCCTGCCTGCAACTGCCTGACAAGAAATCGGAACTTCCATCCTTGGAAGGACCCGTCCGTCCCTTGACAGGCGTGACAGGTTGGCGAGGCAGGAACGGAACGGACAAGATTTTTTTATCCCTCGCCCTCCCTGCCTGGTCCGCCTAGCTCGTTCCTGCCCCATTGCGGGTTCAGCGAGCTCCACCCGAGCGCTTGGTCCACCAGCTTGCGTGCAGCTTGCTTGGCACACACCCCCTCCCCACCGCCGTCCACCGCGCCGTACCCCGGCCTTCCCCCCCCCGCTCGGTTGTCCAGGCCCTTTTCAGTCCAATGCGCGCCGGGCTATTAGCGTACCGCATTCCGTCCCATTTTCCCGCGAGGAGTCGCTTCGCATCGCCTCCTGTTCCTTTTGCTGATTTTCTTCCAGGCCAGGTACCGCGTAACTCCAAGTTTCTTTTTCTCCTTAGCTGGGCCAATCTACAAGCCAGGCACCATCGCTCGCAAGTTTTTTCGGGAGGCGCCAGATCCTTACGCCACTGATTTTGGTCACTCTCATACTCGGCTCCCAGCGAGTTGCGATTGAGTCCCTTCTACCGGCCATGATACCCTGAATCCATCCGGAACTGGTCTGGCGAGGTTGCAAACGAGTGCGATACGAGTATTGACATCCGGTGCCATCTGTATTCCAGACGCAGGACCAACCACATCACATCCCCCTGAGCCCTGATATATCACGATACCATTATCGCCTCCCCAACCCGCTTCACCAGACGGCGCGGCACCCTTTAAGAACACTGGGGACAGAGCCTCCTTTTCTATATAGACCTACCCCCGGCTCATCCCGATTCGCCCGCATCCGCGCCGGGGAATTTCCAGTGCAGAGAGGCGCCCGCGTAACCCCACAGGACTTCCAGAGGACTTCGGTTCACGGCTCGGGTGTCACTTGACTGTGCGACCAGAAAGTGCCGGTGATTGGCCGATGGAGGTAATTGGTGGTAACATGGCTTCGGTTCTCACTTCTCACGCAAGTGAAATCACAGCCCCCGGGCCTGCCCCTCGATCCGCCCAAACCATGCCGCCGCTAACGGGGCCGCGGTCTCCGGACAATGTCAAAACATGAGTCTGAGCACGAGCGAGGTCGCCGACGCAGCGGATCCGACGACAAGGACGTAGAAGGACTTGACCTGGATGGCGATGATGATAGGGATGGCGACGATGGAGCGCACTCCTCTAACTCGGAGGGCCCCGCGCGCAAGCGGAGGCGGAGCCGCAAGGGCCTGGACAAGAAGTTCGAGTGTCCCGAGAAGGGCTGCGGCAAGAGCTACTCCAGAGCCGAGCACCTGTATGTTCCTTTCCTGCAAGCAACTGACTGTGCTCGAGAGTGCTGACACAGTGCAAAGTTACCGCCATCAGCTGAACCACAACCCGAAGCAAGTTTACAAGTGCGGGATTGGCGACTGCCAGAGGACCTTTGTCCGACTGGACTTGTGTACACCGGCACAAAGGGACCGCCACACAGCCAAGGGCTCGGCCTTGAGCTCTCGCAACGGACTCGATGATGAGCCAGGCATCCCCTGTGACGGACCACAGGCAACCCTTCCCCGCGGCCGGTTCCGCCTCCCCGGAAGTCAACCGGCCGGGGACCGCTTACAACAAGGGCCGGTCCTTGTCGATCCAGTATCACTCTCCCAAGGACGCCATGGGGAGCCCATACACTCCGATGACGAATACACCTCCCACAAGCTACGCGAACGGAGGGCAAAACGGTGTCGATTACATGCATCACGACCCGACCTACGGACATATGGCTCAACGGCCAGCCCACCACTCACCCCAAGATCCGCGACGACCATCGATACAGACCAATGTTGGCCCTTACGGGGTGCTATCACCCATCTCCACACAACCCGGCTACCACAGCCAGCCTCATAACACGCCCCAGTCTGCCAACGCAATGCCTTACGTCCCGCCACAGAACTTCCCCCCCTTCAGCCTCCCCCCCTCAGATTTTGGTACGTCGTCCGCGGGAGCGGTCGCCCGCGACGATCAACAAGCATACGCCCCGTCGACAACCGGGGAATACTCGGACCAGCCGCCTCAGGCGACCGGGGAAATGATGCTTCTTGACCAAATGGGCATGCAACAGACTATGCCGGTATTCGGAAGTGATAACATTCTGAATAAATCACCTTATGTTGCGATCCCCGAGGACTTTGTGGCGTATTTATTCAATACCCATAAAGGAAGCAAGCTCGCCCATGACCGGGGTTCCGATCCACCGGGGTACAAGTGAGTCTGACCTTTTTTTTTTTTTTTTCTCACTACAAGGCTTCTTCGCTAATGATGTTACAGCTACGGGGAATTCTCCAACCAATACAATGTGCCTTACTATAACGATCCGAACCAGCTAGGCTATTTCCCCGCCTCCACCGGGCCACAGCAGGTCATGTCCGTGACGAACCTCCTGGACCAGAACCTCCCCGAATCGGTCATCTCGGAAGAGAAGACGGCCGAGATCTTCGAGTTTATCAAGGAGAGGTTCCACGAGAACGGGCATGCGCCTGTCGAGCGACAGCGCGAGACCATTATCGAAGGCGACCGCAACGACGACACGCACATGCTTAGCCGCAAGATGATGCAGGCTTACATCGGGTCGTACTGGCTGCACTTCAGCGACCAGGTGCCGATATTGCATAAGCCTACGTTCTCGCCCGATAAGACGCCGAATCTGTTGTTGATTGCCATGATGACCATTGGCGCCGCGTGCTTGGATAAGGCGCACGGGCAGAAGGTTACTAAAGCCGGCGCGCAGCTGTCCAACTTCTTGGCATGGCACCTGAGGTGGGAGATGTTCCAAGACCCGAACTGCAGGCCGCCGGCGAAGCTGTGGGTGTTCCAAACGCTCTTGCTGTTGGAATTGTACGAGAAGATGTACTCGACCAGAGAGCTACACGAACGGGCCCACATCCACCACGCGACGACGATTACACTGATGCGCCGCGGTAGAGCGCTGATCGGCAAATCAGCGTTGGACTCGCCGCCCAACCCCCGGGACGACAAGACCAACGGGTCCCGGCAGTCGTCGACGTCAGGAGTCGCCCACACGCCTGAGGAGTGGTGGAACCACTGGATCACGAACGAGTCGACTCGACGCGCGGCGTTCGCGGCGTTTGTCATCGATTCGATCCACGCAACCATGTTTGGTCACTCGACGGTCATGGTGGCTCACGAGATGCGGTTGCCCTTGCCCTGCGACGACAAGCTGTGGAAAGCCACCAGCGGACCCGAGGTGGCAAGGATCGATGCTAACTTGAACTCGGTCGGCAACAAGGCCATATCGTTCCTCGAGGGGCTGAAGCGGACGCTGAGCAGCCAAGAGGTGCAGACCAACTCATTCGGGCGCACAATTCTGATGGCCGGTCTTTTGAGTGTAAGCTGGCACATGAACCAGCGAGACCTCCAGGTCAACTCACTCGGGGGCGGCGTATCTCAAGCGCTTGGCGGGCGCGACAAGTGGCGGGGCACGCTGACGCGAGCGTTTGACTCGTGGAAGAGCGACTTTGACAAGACGTTGTTCCGGCGCGGCGACTCCTCAGCAGATCCCTACAACTATGATGCGTCCAACCGCAATGAGGCCAACGTTGTGTTTGAGAGCCGGATCGTGCTGCATCATCTGGCGCACATGGCCATGCACGTCGACATCGTGGACTGCCAGATCTTTGCGAGGGCAAAGAGGTTGCTCGGCCGGGCGATCGGGCCGCAGGATCTCAACAGCGCGCAGCGGCGCATGAAGGACATCTGGGCGCCGTCGGCCAAGGCCCGCGACGCGACGTACTACGCCCTCAAGTTCCTACAATCCGTCATGGTTCCGGATATGGTGGGCACGCCGGGGTCGTCCAACGGCGGCTACGGCCGGCACGAGGAGCCGTACTCGGCGAGGGACGACGTGCTCCTCAACCGGCCGTGGGTGCTCTACTTTGCGGCGCTCGTGGTGTGGTGCTACGGGTTCGCTCTCGAGGGCGCCAGCCCGAACATCCCGATGCCGGCGACGCAGCAGGACAAGGTACGGCTGATGCGCGACTACCTGGTCAAATACGGCAACGTGACGTCGCCCGAGGAGCTCAAGTCGATGAAGGGCATCAGCCACAACACGCCCGTGCTGATGGTGCTCAAGGACGCGTTTGGGGACTCGCGGTGGGAGTTGCTGCACGAGGGCGCCACACTCATGAATAACTGCATCAATCTCAACGCGGGACAGGGCGTTGTCTAAGTTTCGAGTCCGGGGGTCGTTTCCTAAAATGCAGAGGCGGGCCATGGTTGTGCATTTTTTTTGGAGGCTAAGCCCAGGGTCGGCAGGATTTTTGAGGTTATTCACATTTACACTTGCATCTTTTTTCGGCGGGGTAGTGGGAGGATATCTGCGATACGAAAGTTGGGGGTATTTCACACATAAAAAGATGACATATACCTGGGAGGAGGCAGGAAGAAACAGGAGCGGGAGCAACAGTTGGTGGGCGGACGGCATTCTTCATTTCAAGCGAGCGTGGCTCGGCAACCTTATTCTGCTTTGGTTTCCTTAACCTATACCCCTTTTTTGTACTTCAAGTATATAAGGCATGATGCCCCAGCGATGTATGTCAAGGTGTCGTTACCGTGCTTGATCTGGTGATTGGTGATACCAAGGCCAACTCAAGGCTCCGGGCCCGCTTTTCCTGTTGAGGAGGGAGGTGGGTTTTGAGATGCAAGTCCTTGGTGAAAGTGAGGCAATTTCCAACTAGCTGTATGTATAGAAATACATATATTGTGTTGCATTCATGCATCCATCCCCAAGACATACTTCACCTCATTCCAACTCATTAGCAAGCCCCAGATTACAGTTTGGGGGGCTTGTATGTATCACCCGTTGTAAAGCAGCCAAGATTCAAGCTTCAACCCTCTCGCCCAATGAATGAAGCCCCTTCATTTGTTAAGCTTTCCTGAACTGCCGCGGGGTTCCAAGATATCGCCGCGCCTTCCGAGCCGTGGGGTCCCGGGTATTTTTGAACTTGCATCATCTTATCTCATCCGCTCATCATCCATTGCTGCTTGAGTTCCATCCTCCAAACTTCAAAAGCCGCCCGCTCTCCAATCCGTGGCAACAATGGCGGCCGCCCTGACAAACCTCCCACCGGAGATATTACACAACATCCTCAGCTATGTTGAACCCGAAGACCTCACTTGGCTTCCTCTCACATGCCGCGTCTTCAACAATTTCATCAAGGGCAACAACCCTCTTTGTCGGGCCATCTATCTGCGCGTCCTGGTATGCCGAGCCACCATTACCAACCGCGCCCTAGTAAATACTCAGCCGCTAACACCCGCAATCAGGACGAGCCCCCAGTAAAAGACCTCGACTTTGAGCAGGAGCTGCACGACATCCTCAAGCTCAAGCAGCTCTGCGTGCCCGAAACCAGCCGCAGCACCACCACGCCCTCAACCCAGGCCCCCCTCCAAACCCACCTCCCCTTCGTCCACCGCACCGTCACCCGCCTCCTCAACCACGCCATCACCGTCCCCACCCCCAACCCCACCACCACCAGCAAATCCCCCAACAGCCACAACCAACCTCCCTCCCCAACCCGCAAATCCCGCGCGCGCACCTTCCCAGCCTCGGAAAACACCCGCTTTCTCGAGTCGCTCTTTGAATCGGAGCCAGCGCGCCGCGCGTTTTTGGCTCGCTCGGCTCTGTATCAGCGGGAGCGGGCGTTGGGGGTGTGCGGGTTTACGGGGGAGGAGGATGGCGAAGATGGTGAGAGTGAGGGGGTGGGGGGTAATGAGGGGGATGGTGTTTTTGCAGAGGGGGGTGTAGAGGGGAGTGGGGGTGGGAATGGGAGTTCGAGTGGGGGTGGGAGGGCCAGTGGGAGGAGTAGGGGGGCCGTGACCCAGGAATCGCGCGAGGTGTTTCAGATGAGCGCGAAGCTGCATTGCCTGTATGGCTGGGGGTTGGGATTTGAGGATGGCGTGCGGCATGGCCAGACCGAGGGCGCTGCGTGGCGGGGGAGGCTGACCTTTGCGCGCCATAGGGGCGGCGTGTACCCGCTCGCGTGCTCCAAGGTGTATGACCTGAGGGAGTACACGAGGGGCACGAAGTGGGGGCCGTTTTTGGACCTCGGTGAAGAGGAGGATGCGGAGGTGCGCGTCGACTGGGAAAAGGTGGAGGCCATTCTGGTGGTGCTGGGCGGCAATATCAGGTGTAAGGGGCTAGAGCGGTTTCCCATCTTTTGGCATTTCTGGGGGAAGCCGTTTGCCGGGAGCTGGAACGGGAGTTATATCCCCTGGTCGAGAGATAGGGAGAAGGGAGAGGAATTGGAGGTGAAGGAGCTGGACCGGCTGGACCCGTACGGGGTTGCGGGGAGCTGGCTGAGGGTCGTGAGTTTCCTGGGTAAGTTCCCCACCCCCCCCCCCCTCCCCTACCGGACGAAAACGGGCGAGTTTGGCACTCACGGCATCTAGACTTCAGCGACTTCTTCCACTTCAACTTCCCCATCATCGACAGCCTGCCGCGCGACCTGCCACGGCCGCCCCTCGACGTCGGCCAGGCGACGCGGCTCATCCTGATGCGCATTCGCGTGTCCAAGGTCGAGCCGGCGGGGCCCGGCGACCACCCGGACCACCCCGTCACGCACTTCACGGGCTTCTCGCGTGCGCTCGACGGGTCGTGGGACGACAACGCCGACGCTAGCATCCGCGGCACCGTCCGCGTCACCCCGGAGGGCGAGGTCCGCTGGACGTCGTACTCGGTCTTCCACGGCGAGGAGCGCTGGAAGAGCGAGGGCGTCCAGATCGGCGGCATCAAGTCCGCCCGGGGCGTGGTGGGGACCTGGTTTGATAAGTGCGTTCTTCCCAGCGGAGAGGGAGTGAAGTTTTCGGTCTGTGCTAATAATGACTATTAGGGATTTCAACGCGCAAGGGCCTTGTGGGCCGACGGCGTTTTGGAAGATTTCGGACCGAGAGGACACGGGCGACGGGCCGCAGGTTTTGTTGGAGGATCTCTTTCCGCTTAGTACATCATCGTGATTTTCCTGCTTATAGCCGCGGAGGATGCTAATGATTCGATGCGCAGTAGCTGACGACATGGAGGAGGAGCTCATGGACGAGGACGATGACGCGCGGGACGAGTTCAACCTGCAGGTGCTGGACCCCTTCGGGCCGGACTGGACCACGTATGAGCTGGAGGACGACCTGGACGGGCTATACTATTTCGACGACGAAGATATCTTTGACGTGGAGGACGTGGCGGCCGAGATGCATGGGTTGGGAGAGGAGCGGGATGACGAGGACCTGGACGAGGACGAAGACGACTATGATGATGATTTCGTTGATACTCTGACGTATGGCTAGTGCTTGCGGGCGGGCATGGCTGAAACGGCGCTCTAGATCTACCTTCGCTACGAATATGAAGACAACGTTTGCAATGTAAGGTACTCGGGTATCCGCCACAAGTAAGCTGTGCAACCTTCCACGACGTTCCGTCATCCCACCCACCCCTACACTTTCTCTTCTCCCCCCCCCTGGGTAAAGGCCGAAACGAACACAAACCGACACAGGCAGGCTGGCCGGCCTGACCTCCCCGAAAAAAGCTAGTTTTTAAACCTTGATCAACCCCGGATACGGATATCCCCTTCCAA